AAATATAATAAAATAAAAAGAGTATGACTGAATTTTTTTTATTTAATAATTATAATAAATTAAATCTTTAATCTTTATAATTTTGTATTCTGCTTTTTATGCCTGGGACTGGTTGCTGGATACGAAAGCAATGGTGTAAAAGGAGCATCCTACTAAAAAGGCTCTGTTTTTAAAAGCTAGATGAAAGCTTAACAATGATGATGAAGATAAATAAGTTCACTGGCTCTTTTCTGCTGGGTGATAAGTACACTGGCTCTCTGAAAGGGATTGTACTACAAAAAGTGATGACATAATAATGGTGGAGGCAGAGGTGATTTTTAAGAGCCAAATAAGCAAAATAGAAACCGCTAGAGGTACGCCATTGGAGAAGAACAATAAACGTAAATGTTTTGAATTTAAATTTTTATAATTAAATTCTGAAAAATTTATTCTTAATCTTAACGTGAATGAATTATCTTTGATAAAATTAAAGAAAAAATTAGTAAAAATATGCGTAAATTGATTCAAACAATCTTAATCGTTAAAAAAAAATATCGTTAGAGATGGTTCAATCCCTTTTTACATTCCACCGTCGCCCTTGTTTTTTATGGACATGCTCTACGGTGACAACTTCTAAACTCGAGGAAGTAGTTAATCTAAATCTAGACACAATAAAAAAAAAAAACTAGGGAAAGTTAAACTTACTAAAAAAAAATGAAATGAGGGTAAATTAAACACGGTTCTATTATATTTGCTATGATTATCACTTTAATTTCTAAGAGCAACTCCAACAAAATGAGTTAAATGATACAAAATCTTTAAATTTGAACTATTTAATCAAAAAATTTCTTTCCAACAGATTACCTTCAAAAACATCTAAAATAATATTTTACTACAGTAATACTCTATATTTAAAATATTACTATACCAATATGTAAAAGAAAATTATAATATTTTCTCTATTTTCCTCTCCTTTCTTTTATTCTCTTTCTCCTTTTCACTATTTTAACTATATTCCTTTCCTTTCCTCCGTTCTCTCTCTTTCTCCCTGTCACTATTTTTACAAAAATAATAATACAAAAAGAATGAAAAATAATATTTATAAGAAGTAATTAAAAATATAGAATATCTTTGAAATGTGTATTGAAAAAATGAGTAGTTAAAATAAAAAATTTTGATTTTTGAGTAGCTAAAATAATTTTTGTTGTTGAAGATGCTTTAAAGATTAAGGGCCTATTTTATTTGTATCTCAAAAAATAATTTTTGGAAATTATTTTTGAGAAAAATTTTAAGATAGTGTTTTTAAAAATTTTTAGATCGTAAAACCTGTTTAGTTATATATTTTTAAAAAAAAATTTAAAAAACAAAAATTATAAAATTTATTTGGACAATAAAATTATAAAATTTGTTTCAACTCTCTCTCCCTCTTTCGCTGTGCATCAAGACCACAAAGCACAAAACCAAATGAGAAACCCACAACCACCGATGGAGAAGTGCATCAAGACTCCCTGCGCATCAACACCCACAACCACCACCAAAACTCACAACAACCACCAAAACCCACAAATCACCACCGAAATCCACAACCACCCAAAACCCACAACTACCACCACCACCACCAAAACTCACAAAGCACCATCAACTACAGTCTCCAACTTGCGCAGAAAGATATTTATCCTGCAATTGGATTCGTACATAAAGCCTCAACCATGAACGCCATTGAAGAGGTTTTCCACATCTCCAAAGCAATTTTCTTAGTCACACTCTTAACAACAGTCCCTGGGTTCTGGTTCACTGTGTTCCTAATTGATCAAATCAGCCGGTTTGTAATCCAGCTCGGTGGATTCCTCCTAATGTCCATTTTCATGCTGATTCTTGGAGTCAAATACAAAGCTTTCAGAGGTAAACCGTGTGCGGACACTAAGCACAAAGATTTGTTGAACGATTTTTGTGAAAACCCACAAAGAAACACTGAACCCAGATCTAGAAAAAAAAAGCCCCGTCTTCGTCTTCATTAAAGAGGAGGAGTTGCACAGAGAGAGAGAGAGGAGATGAAGATCTCTGTCTTCGTCTTCGCCGGAGATCTCTGGCTTCGTCTTTGTATTCGCCGGAGATCTCTGTCTTCGTTGCACAGGCTCGTTGCAGAGACAGAGAGGAGATGGAGAAAATAGGCAGCGAAGGGCTTTTATAGTAGAAAGAAAAAAATGCATTTTGCTCCTAAAAAAGTTTGATGGTGGCCCTCTTTAAAGAGGAGGAGCTGTTTCCTTATTTTCATTTTGCGTTAGAAAATAATTAAAACATCATTTTATTATTCTCTAAAATCATATCTCAATTTTTAAAATTTTTAAAAAATTAAAAAACAAAAAAATTTAACAAATCTAAAATCATATCTCAATTTTTAAAAAATTAAAAAACAAACAGATTTCGGGTGTTTTTCCAATTTTGAGTATAAAAAATAATTTTTGAAAACTAAATCATACACGCCCTAATTTTTTTTCACTTTTGTGTCCAATTAATGGTTAGCTCTTGGTGACAGGCACGAGACAGAAGCTGATGTTATTTCTCACTTTTCTCTGTTATTTGTGATCACCAAATGCTTGTGAAAAGATGCAAACGAAAAACACATATTACATATCTGAGACCCTCTCATCATTAGACCACCCTTTCCTGTCTCGCTTTGAAGAAAAGGGTTTAGAGGGTGAAAAAGTTTGGAAGGTAACTTGGGTGATTTGATATAGGGGTTTTGGGAGGGAGCACGGTGGGAGTTGTGTTTCTAAATTTATAATTACAGTGTTTTTTTTGGGAACAAAAATAACATAAATTTCTTTTAGTATATTCACGGGTCTCACAGGTGGTATTTTAGATTATATTGGTGCTCCCTGCCTCTGTAGTATTTGTTGGAGTTGCCGCGACTACAATCTCCAGCATTGACAGAGGCGTCAAGGAGTGAAAGGGGCTGGTTGTTGTACAGAATACTTGCTTCGCTAGTAGTAAGCAACAGAGAGAACACTTCCTCAAGTTGAGTCAGAATGAGCAGCAACAGTGGCTACTAATGAATCGTACTTAGGACCAAGTCTACTAAGTACATATGTGATTATGTTATCATTCTTCATGGCTTGATCAACTATGGTGAGTTGGTAAGTGAGTTTTTTGATACGTTTAAAATAATCGACGGTAGTCATGCTACTTTTTTTGGCTATTACTAATTGAGAACGAACTTGAATTGTCTTGACTCGTGATTGAGACGAAAAGACAATTTTCAGAATAACTCTAACCTCTCTGAAAATAGTGCAAAGACTTAAACCACCACTTTGTCGGTTAAGGATGAGTTGATAATACTGAGGAGATAATTATCTTGCTTGATCTAGAAAGCATAGCTTGGATTTGGGGAAGTCCAGCCATCAATATTGTCGAGTTCTTTGGGAGGTAGTTTCATTGTTCGATCGATATAGCCAAATACTTCTTGGCCTTTGAGATATGTCATCATTTGTGCCTTCTACATAGGGTAATCGAGGCTCATAAATTTGGACAAATTGAGAGTAGAGGAAGGATTAAATAGGGAGGTGAGGGAGCATCGCTGTCAAAGTTAGAATAATTGGGAGAGGACAATGTTATTGACGTTGGTCAATGAAAGGTTGATACCACTTAGGATTTCAATATAATATATTTCAAGAACGATCTTTGTATTGTTTTATAAATTTGTACAATACAATTACACTTTATATAAATATATACAATAACTAAATTATCGAATTTTAGATCAAAGACGTTGAATTGGTTTACGATTCAAATTTGAGATGAGAATGAGAACTGTAAATTCTAAAATTGTGTCTCTTCTCTTTGTGAGTTGAAGACTCGGTCCCACCACAACAATCTTTTCCAACAAGTGCTAACGTGTAAACTTTGAGGGACACAATTAAGAAGATTGAAATTTAAGATCGACACAAATGAATAACTATAAGGGTCAATTTAGGGAATGACATAAAGATAATATTTGGAAAGAGATGGGGCACTGGAATTTATGGTCACATGCGTGGGGTAGTCTAACAATTTAACACATCAAACACTTAGGACAACTGTTTAAAATCAGTTAATCATGTTCCTCCGCAAAGAAGATGAAAAATCAAGAGACAAACTAAAGAGATATCATGTACAGTAAAACAACAAACCAGAAAAAGGTAGATTGGGAGAGGAAAATTGACGGAAGGATGATGTCTTTTCTTGTAAGTGAAGCATTAAATAAAGGAGAGAGACAGAGAGAGAGAGGTCATTTTCAAGATGGGGTAGTGTTGGCGTTTGAAGGATCTATGCATCTATCCAAGCTTGTATTTTTGAGCTATTAACCAACGGTGGTAACTTTTAACTAAGGAGTAACAAAACCAGAAAATGACTAGATGAGAGAGAGAGAGAGAGAGAGAGTTGAAAGGAAGTAGCCAAATTAGTTGTGGCTGAATGGAAAAGGGTTTTTGGGTTGCTATTTGTGTTGTGTAGGCGGACCAAAACAGCAGCAGCAGAGAGAGAAAGGGCAGTGATGAGCTCACAAAGATCTTTAATCTCCTTTCTGACCAAAACACTGCCACACTAGTGGCATCAAGGGCTTTTATAGCCCAAAGTGAGGATTCCTCTTCTCTATACCCCTATATCTACTGTTCACTACCGTCTTCATCCCCCCTCCCCCCTACTCTCTCTCTCTCTCTGAAAGAATTGTTGGAAATTTACTTGTACTCCTCTTGACTCTATTCTTGTTCGACTGGGTACTAATCCAGTTGTCAATTATCTCTGTGGAAAGAGGGTAGCGCAGAGATGGGTTAGGCTAAATCGGAGATGGGTTTAGAGTTCTGGGTCTAGTTTGGTTTTTCCGATTAGGGTGAATGGAATCGGATGGGTTGAATGGCAAGGCCTTGTGGGAGAGGCAGAAGAGAGAGACTAGGGGGGAGATACAGAAGCAGCACCATAAGCAAGATAAGATTGGAAAGAAGAGAGAGACTAGGGAGGAGAAAACCCATTAAGAGAGAGTCTTCTCAATCGAAAGCTGGAACAGGACAAGCACAACAAGGGTCTGAGTCTGGATCCTCAGAGCATTCATCATCATCATCATCATCTTCAACATCTTCAGAACCAGAACCAAGTTCGAGCTTCAAGACATGTAGAAGAGGAAGGAGAAGATGAAGATGACCAGGACACGGTTGAAAAAGAACAGCCACAAGCCTTCTATGGACACCACCATCACCATCTTCAACACCAGCTCTTGTATGAACAATTAGACTCACCACCACCACCTCTACCACCACGCAAGAAACTCTCTTACTTTCCTTCTTGCTCATCGGTGGAGCAAAACTCCGAATATGCAAAATTGGGCGAAAAAATGGGAGACGCTCATTACCAAGACCACCACCAGCAACGGCCCCGGACAACATCGTCGAGATTGGGGCTAAGAAACTCCGGCGGCGAGATCGTGGAAGTTCAAGGCGGTCACATTGTTCGGTCCACCGGCCGAAAAGACAGGCACAGCAAAGTCTGCACCGCAAAAGGCCCGAGGGACCGTCGAGTCAGGCTCTCAGCCCACACCGNGAGAGAGAGAGAGAGAGAGTTGAAAGGAAGTAGCCAAATTAGTTGTGGCTGAATGGAAAAGGGTTTTTGGGTTGCTATTTGTGTTGTGTAGGCGGACCAAAACAGCAGCAGCAGAGAGAGAAAGGGCAGTGATGAGCTCACAAAGATCTTTAATCTCCTTTCTGACCAAAACACTGCCACACTAGTGGCATCAAGGGCTTTTATAGCCCAAAGTGAGGATTCCTCTTCTCTATACCCCTATATCTACTGTTCACTACCGTCTTCATCCCCCCTCCCCCCTACTCTCTCTCTCTCTCTGAAAGAATTGTTGGAAATTTACTTGTACTCCTCTTGACTCTATTCTTGTTCGACTGGGTACTAATCCAGTTGTCAATTATCTCTGTGGAAAGAGGGTAGCGCAGAGATGGGTTAGGCTAAATCGGAGATGGGTTTAGAGTTCTGGGTCTAGTTTGGTTTTTCCGATTAGGGTGAATGGAATCGGATGGGTTGAATGGCAAGGCCTTGTGGGAGAGGCAGAAGAGAGAGACTAGGGGGGAGATACAGAAGCAGCACCATAAGCAAGATAAGATTGGAAAGAAGAGAGAGACTAGGGAGGAGAAAACCCATTAAGAGAGAGTCTTCTCAATCGAAAGCTGGAACAGGACAAGCACAACAAGGGTCTGAGTCTGGATCCTCAGAGCATTCATCATCATCATCATCATCTTCAACATCTTCAGAACCAGAACCAAGTTCGAGCTTCAAGACATGTAGAAGAGGAAGGAGAAGATGAAGATGACCAGGACACGGTTGAAAAAGAACAGCCACAAGCCTTCTATGGACACCACCATCACCATCTTCAACACCAGCTCTTGTATGAACAATTAGACTCACCACCACCACCTCTACCACCACGCAAGAAACTCTCTTACTTTCCTTCTTGCTCATCGGTGGAGCAAAACTCCGAATATGCAAAATTGGGCGAAAAAATGGGAGACGCTCATTACCAAGACCACCACCAGCAACGGCCCCGGACAACATCGTCGAGATTGGGGCTAAGAAACTCCGGCGGCGAGATCGTGGAAGTTCAAGGCGGTCACATTGTTCGGTCCACCGGCCGAAAAGACAGGCACAGCAAAGTCTGCACCGCAAAAGGCCCGAGGGACCGTCGAGTCAGGCTCTCAGCCCACACCGCCATTCAATTCTACGACGTCCAGGACCGCCTTGGCTACGACCGCCCGAGCAAAGCCGTGGATTGGCTCATCAAAAAGGCCAAAGCGGCTATAGACGAGCTTGCGGAGCTACCCGCATGGAAACCCACCATTGGTTCAACAGGAAATTCAATATTTGAAGACAACCAAGCCCAAAGACAGCATGAAGATCATCATCAGCAACTTCGTCTCCACCACGACGATTTGGTGGACTCCATTGCTGGTCCTTCGAGCAATAGAGCAGTAACTATGTTAGGGACTGGTAATCAGAATCAACAGCTAGAAATGAATAACAATAGAAGCAATCCAGGCCATGAGAATAGCTCTAGTTTCTTGCCACCATCTTTGGATTCTGATTCTATTGCTGATACTATCAAGTCTTTCTTCCCAATGGTTGCTTCAACGGCGACTAATTCATCCGCAATTCCGTTTCATGGCTTCCCATCATCGGATTGCAATTTGCTGTCCAGAACCAGTAGTCAGAGCCAAGATCTGAGGCTCTCACTTCAATCTTTTCAAGATCCAATCCTTCTCCACCACCATAACCAACAAACCCAGCACCAACATTCCACAAATCAGAATGAACAAACCCTTTACTCTGGAACAACCCCATTTGGGTTTGATTCGGGCTGGTCTGAAAATCAGCATACGGAGATTGGTAGGTTTCAGAGAATGGTGGGTTGGAATGCCGGTGGAGACACCGGTACTGGTGGTGGAGGTGGAGGATTTGTATTCAATTCGCCGCCGACGCCGCCGTTTCTGCAGCCGTTGTTCGGCCAACCACAGATGTTTTCTCAGAGGGGACCCCTTCAGTCCAGTTACACACCTTCGATTCGTGCTTGGATGGACCCATCCGCCATTGCTATGAGCACCACTGATCATCATCGTCACCAACAGCTTCATCAAACAGTACTACCCATCCATCCATCTTCGATATCTGGAATTGGATTTGCCTCTGGAGTTGGCGGATTCTCCGGGTTCCGTATTCCAGCACGAATCCAGGGTGAAGAAGAGGAACACGACGGCATTTCCGACAAGCCGTCCTCTACTTCCTCCGATTCACGCCATTGATTTAGCTCAAAAACTAAAACTCTCTCTATCTAACAGGTTATCCCTTCAATACCCATCTCTCAAACTCACTTCTATTTATCTCATGAATTCAGTCCTATTCAATTTTCCCACTGCACATCTAATGTTGCATTGAATTCATCTTACAGGACTTAATCCATGGTCTACAAGAGCAACCAAGAACTACCAGTTGTTGCCGTTATAGCTCTTAACTGGGTTCAACCTGGCAAAGGGGAGAGTTTTCAGTCAGCTCAATCCAATGGCTGCGACCGCTAGTAGAAGAATTCTGAATATAGTTCAGGTTTTCTGATTGCGTTTAGCTGTTTGATGTTACTTATGTCTATGTTTTAACTTCTGCTTTCAATTTGAGTGAGCTTTCACTGCTCAACTTTGTGACTCTGGGTTGCTTTGTGTTTCTGTTGTTAGACATGTGATTTTATGACTGTTTGCTTAATTGTGGAGTGTTCTTGAGTTAGGACTATTGAAAAAGACAGTTTGTTGCGTCGAAGTTTACAAACTGGCTCACACTGGTTTCTCTCAGACATGGCAATTCTTGATAGAGAAATGCCAGATAATTCACTCGTCATTTTGGTATCAAATTGTGTAGTGATAATGATTTGAGCTTTGTGTTGATTGCTTAAATAAAATATTGAGCTAGAGTGAACAAATAGGATGTTTTCCTCTCATTTATGGTCAATTATTCAATGTAGATGAAAGGGAGAGCTCTCTCTTTCTCTCTGATTGTTTTGTGCTTTACTGCTTTATAATGAAACAGGCCATGCCTCAATTTCTTCCTTAAACCCGCAAAAAGAATTGAAAGAATAACACTGATCATATATATCCCCATCACTGCTTGGATTTTTAAGAGCATGGGGGGAGGGTAGTCACTTTTCAGAACAGTAGCTATAGTTAAAGTGTTTAAAAGAAATAGGCTAGTAGCTAAAAGCACTACCCAAAATGTTTCCAGGACTTTTTAAGTGTCAATAGAGAGGAACCCAGATCATATTAAGTTTCATTTACTGCTTATTGCTGCGTTAGCCTATTGGCTATAGATTGGCCAAAATGGTATGGGAGTATTGGAGAGCCCTGTTTGGTAGCAACTAACAGCAAACAGAACCAGAAACCTTGAATGCCTCTACGAGTTAAATGCACTTCTAATTTACCTAGGTTCAGATGCTGAGGAAGAATAATTGGTTGGGGGGGGGGAGGGGTTGAGGGATTTGAATCATATGTACCCAAAGTTACTTTTGTATTGAGGTCAGGTTGTGGAGGAATATAAGGTTATCACATGGAAGTGGATGAATAGAAGAATACGATGAACACAAGCTAAATTATGGAAGAATACACAGATGGGTACCACCAAAATTCGGTACTTGGCCAGAAGTCCATGGCCCCTACCTTGCAAATATATGTGCCTAATAAAAAAATCATAGTCTTGCTGGAATATTTTTCTTCCTTTTTTTTTCTGTGAAAGAAAGAAAAATGAACACTTGGCTTCTGGTGAGATGGAGACAATAGATTAATTGTGGTTATTTCTTTATGGTTGATAGTTACCCATCGAAAGAACAAAATAGCTTGCATAGATTTGTGGGGCAATTAAGATCTAAGAAAGATTTTACACTCTTCTAGAATTAAAAAGGGATTTTGATTTTCGGTTTGATATATTAGGCCCCTTACCAATACATGGCGGGTGATTGAGATTTGGATCTAATGAGAATGGCCCTACATGTAGTTTCTGGTGGTAGTCCCTTTTCTTCCATGTGAGCAAAATAATTGGACTTTGCAGGACTATTCTAGACATTAACTAGATATGTCTGATTGATATATAGGGTAATCATAGCTGTCTTTGGAATTAGATGGGCTTGCTGAACAAAAGAACAGTGAACTTAGTAAAATAATATCTGATGGATACATGAGTTGGAATGTACAAAGTTTAGTGTTCTTTAATAACTCAGAGAGCTTTCTTTTTCATGTACATTTGGACCTTTCTTGGAGCTATATTAAAAAAAATTCTACAATTGAAGAAACCAAATAACTTATTGCAGAAGTTCACATCATTAGTTCATGATTGGCAGAAGACTTGAGTATATATTAAAACCCCTGGGTCCAGATGATAATAGTATATTGCAAAAATACTCACATTAGTTCAAACATGAGGTCTGTTTTTTATTCTGTTTTGTACTAACATGGCAGACCATTTTTCTTCAGTATAATCCAATATGGATGGAACTAGAAAACTTAAATAATCATCAGATATCTTGAAGGCATACCCTGTTCTTGCTTCATCTTTTCTTCTTCAGTTTGAACTGAGACTAGCTTATTGCTTCAGAAGTCGATTATTTTTGTGCTTCTGTAGTCACCTTGCCATTGGACAAAGGGGGTTTAGTTGAGACTACAAGTTTCATTGCTGCCTGCTTTACAATGCTACCATCCTTGCTTCCTTGCCTGGCATGAACTTTCTTTGGGACAATGGGCTGCTGGGCATTAACCCGAGTCTCCCATGGTCGAACAGCTATCCAGCGCTCCATCCAGCTCCAACCCCAGCTTTCTTTGCCAAGATCATAATAAGCTTGGCCAAAATAGGGACTGGAGTTGGCTCTCCACTGCAAATCACATTAAATCAGATTAAAAAACTATGTGGGTTGAAACTCGAGGGCACAAGTGTTAAGAAGTTTTGACTGAAAATATCAAACACCTGATGTGAAAAGGCATAAGCCATGGCTCGCTCCCGCTTAATAGATGCCTCTTCCCTCTGTTGTATCCTGGAGAGAATTTCTTCCATGGTTTCAGAGCCACCACACCACTCCACCTGTTTGGCAGATCAAAATGTGATGCACATGGCCGGAAGATACATGACAAAGTTTACAGTAGAACAGGTATATAAATAAGTCGTGTCATGTATTTTTTTGATTTGTTTCACTTTTACTTGATTTGTTTATTAATTGTGTTATATTGGGTCCATCCGTTTATGAAACGGCTGGCTTTCAAAAAATTTCAACTTTTTAACTTTGTGTTGTGTTGTGCTTACAACCCCTACTCCCACCAAACAGGAGTGAACAGTCATTAATACCTGCAGTTCATGAAGCTTAGCCTCAAGCTTTAGCTGATTTTCTAGTTTCTTTTGCCTTGCCCGGCCTTCTGCGACCATACAGAGACGGCGAGTTTTAATCTCCGCTTGTATTTTGCTCCAAAAATGAATATGGTTGAGAGTGTCTGATGGTTGGTTTTTAAAAGCACGAGCTTCAATCAAGGCCTGAGACCTCACAGTCCCCTTCAGTCGATTTAGAGCTTTGCTTGCCTGCAATGTGCCCAATTTATGAAGACTTGCCATAATCAGATGAGCTCAAGGCAACAACACAAGAGGAGAACAGGTCAAAAACAAAGTAATTTGATTCCCAAAGGAAAAACAGTTATTTACACTGACAATATACGAAAGAAAAAACCCGAATTATCTTTAGATTTTAACTTGTTTCGAAATTAATGTGATCACGATGCACTATACCATGTATGCCCGAAATTCAGTTTGAATCCTTATGGCAGCAATATCCTCAGTCGACATACTATGCAGACCAGCGGTTTGACTGGAGGCACCATTGGCAAGACCACTCGATTCATCGCCAGCAACATGCTTCCCCTTTGAACCATTTGATTTTTTGGTAGCAGAATGTACCTTGTTTTCGAAGAAATAAAGAAGAGCAGATTAGCAAAGCAAGAACATTAACTTCATTATATGGAAGAATTAATATGTCAAATAGGTTGCAACAGTATAAACCATTCCAAAAGGGAATATCACCTTCACTTGCTTGGTTCTGTCTTCTTTCACTTTCTTTAGACAGAATATTTTGTTAAACCAGTTGCATGAACCCATTGTTCTTGATCAGGAGGCCAAGAGATTGTTCTGACTTCTGAGGCTTGGGAGAGGGGGGGGGGGGGGGGAAGAANTAGGACGGTAAGGAAATGAGTTGAATGGAGAGAATTCGGTAGACACTGATAAAACCCAACCTACTTTAACAACTTAGTGGCTTGACACCGTCCCGTTTGGAGAATGAACCCTTATGGCTTATTCTCGCAATTCAAATAAGATTTGGTCACTTTGACACGGGTTAGTCATATTCATTCTCGTTATCAATTTGTTTATAAATTTGAAATCTAAGACTCTCTGATTTAGAAAAGAAAGACAAAAAGCCATTAATCTCATATTGATAAGCAAGGGGTCTGCATTCACTATTAAGTGTACGCTCGTCCATGCCTTTCAAGCTTGATCTTGACCTCTATTTTACACATCATATGTATATGTTTGTGTGGGTGTATGGCATGACGAAGCTTTGTGACTATGTCATTCTTGGCAATGGTGATCGCCGAGCAGAAGGTGACGGCCACTTATTTCAACGGTAAATTTTATTGACACCCCCAAATTTAAGTTATATTTCACTGACACCCTCTCTAGTTTCTAAAATATGACTTAAATATAGGGAGTGTCAGTGAAATTTACCGTAAAACAATTCTCATGAGGCCTGGTCTCCATATTATGTTTAGAATATCACGGGTTATGTGGTTAATTTTGAAAAAGCGGGGGATGCAATATGTAGAGGGTCTAACCACAGGGGAGCTAAGTGAAATTTACCCTAAAAGCTCTGAAGCAATCACATGTTAAAAAAACACACAAAGAGTCCATTAATCTTAAGCTAGCATTGAAGGCAACGCTCATTCCCACAAATCCATTTCATAAGTATTTACATTGATAATGATATCAAATTTCATAAATTACTCGGCACGAAACAAGAAATACACTTATTCTGAAGTAACGGGAAACGAACTTACCTAATCAACAAATTGAAGATGAAAAATAAACCCAAATGATGTTTTTACCTGTATCAAAATAAGGAAGCCAATGTGGAAGAACAAAGAGACATACCCAAAATGAGGCAACCCATGTTCTTGGAACATAGGTTGGGAAAGATGGGTGGGTGGGTAGTAATAGAAATAGCAATGAGAAATGGTGAATTGTCATGGGCCATGACAGTGTACTCTGAAGAGTATGTATTGAGACGTGTGAATTTTTTTTTCATCTCAAAATTGACACCCCAACTATACTGAAAGTGGTGTTTCATCCTCATAAGCTCAACAATCAACAACATTGATTCAAGGTTAGAGTCAACTGCACCTAGGAGTACAGAATCTAAGGTGTCTGGACCATTCGATTTTTTAACAACTAATGCTATTGAAACTAAAAAATCTGATCTTATTTACTGATTCAATGATGTATAAAGTGATAGAGTCCTAACGAAGAAGTCTAACAGTTACTATCACATCAACATTATCGGGTCATGTCTCTACAAGATTATCAGGTAAGCAAATTATATCCGTTTAGGTAAAATTAATAGAGCTTTTGACACGTGTCATAGACTGATTTGTTAAGACACCTTAGTATAATAATCTCACGAAGACCAAAACAATTCTAAGCTAATAGTGATGGAGGAACCAATTATGGCTACCTTGTAATGGGCCCAGAAAAAATAGAAGGGCCTGTGCTTGCCATGGATTCTGGTACCTAAAAGATCTTTAAAATGGGCTCTGGGTTCCACACAACAGCCCATAGCCCATATATAATGAGTTAGGATTCAATTGCCCGCNCTACCTTGTAATGGGCCTAGAATAAATAGAAGGGCCTGTGCTTGCCATGGATTCTGGTACCTAAAAGATCTTTAAAATGGGCTCTGGGTTCCACACAACAGCCCATAGCCCATATTTAATGAGTTAGGATTCAATTGCCCGCAAAATTATACTGGTAAGCCCTGCTTATGAATGCATTAGCGGCGAAGCAAGCTAGTGTGGCTTTACAAATATATGACTCCTAAAGCTATGCAACCAAAGCTCATATAGTTTTTGATTTCCTAACTCAAATATTCAATTTTTTGTTTTATTAATAGTCATTGATGTTGGGTTCAACTTACGTACACTTCTNGGGGGGGGGGGTGTAAGAAATCTTTTGACTCGACGATTGTCGGATTGAGAAGAATCTCTGCTTGTTTACTGATTATATGTCATCATCCTGCGAGGCTACGGAATTTGAAGGCATAACTTCCCCATAGAGAACATGAATCAAAAAAAGAAAAAAAAAATTCCATTAACATTCAAATCAAGATGTAAATGAAAAATAGGAACTGCAATCTGGCTCCTCTATCCAAAATAGGACGGTAAGGAAATGAGTTGAATGGAGAGAATTCGGTAGACACTGATAAAACCCAACCTACTTTAACAACTTAGTGGCTTGACACCGTCCCGTTTGGAGAATGAACCCTTATGGCTTATTCTCGCAATTCAAATAAGATTTGGTCACTTTGACACGGGTTAGTCATATTCATTCTCGTTATCAATTTGTTTATAAATTTGAAATCTAAGACTCTCTGATTTAGAAAAGAAAGACAAAAAGCCATTAATCTCATATTGATAAGCAAGGGGTCTGCATTCACTATTAAGTGTACGCTCGTCCATGCCTTTCAAGCTTGATCTTGACCTCTATTTTACACATCATATGTATATGTTTGTGTGGGTGTATGGCATGACGAAGCTTTGTGACTATGTCATTCTTGGCAATGGTGATCGCCGAGCAGAAGGTGACGGCCACTTATTTCAACGGTAAATTTTATTGACACCCCCAAATTTAAGTTATATTTCACTGACACCCTCTCTAGTTTCTAAAATATGACTTAAATATAGGGAGTGTCAGTGAAATTTACCGTAAAACAATTCTCATGAGGCCTGGTCTCCATATTATGTTTAGAATATCACGGGTTATGTGGTTAATTTTGAAAAAGCGGGGGATGCAATATGTAGAGGGTCTAACCACAGGGGAGCTAAGTGAAATTTACCCTAAAAGCTCTGAAGCAATCACATGTTAAAAAAACACACAAAGAGTCCATTAATCTTAAGCTAGCATTGAAGGCAACGCTCATTCCCACAAATCCATTTCATAAGTATTTACATTGATAATGATATCAAATTTCATAAATTACTCGGCACGAAACAAGAAATACACTTATTCTGAAGTAACGGGAAACGAACTTACCTAATCAACAAATTGAAGATGAAAAATAAACCCAAATGATGTTTTTACCTGTATCAAAATAAGGAAGCCAATGTGGAAGAACAAAGAGACATACCCAAAATGAGGCAACCCATGTTCTTGGAACATAGGTTGGGAAAGATGGGTGGGTGGGTAGTAATAGAAATAGCAATGAGAAATGGTGAATTGTCATGGGCCATGACAGTGTACTCTGAAGAGTATGTATTGAGACGTGTGAATTTTTTTTTCATCTCAAAATTGACACCCCAACTATACTGAAAGTGGTGTTTCATCCTCATAAGCTCAACAATCAACAACATTGATTCAAGGTTAGAGTCAACTGCACCTAGGAGTACAGAATCTAAGGTGTCTGGACCATTCGATTTTTTAACAACTAATGCTATTGAAACTAAAAAATCTGATCTTATTTACTGATTCAATGATGTATAAAGTGATAGAGTCCTAACGAAGAAGTCTAACAGTTACTATCACATCAACATTATCGGGTCATGTCTCTACAAGATTATCAGGTAAGCAAATTATATCCGTTTAGGTAAAATTAATAGAGCTTTTGACACGTGTCATAGACTGATTTGTTAAGACACCTTAGTATAATAATCTCACGAAGACCAAAACAATTCTAAGCTAATAGTGATGGCTACCTTGTAATGGGCCTAGAATAAATAGAAGGGCCTGTGCTTGCCATGGATTCTGGTACCTAAAAGATCTTTAAAATGGGCTCTGGGTTCCACACAACAGCCCATAGCCCATATTTAATGAGTTAGGATTCAATTGCCCGCAAAATTATACTGGTAAGCCCTGCTTATGAATGCATTAGCGGCGAAGCAAGCTAGTGTGGCTTTACAAATATATGACTCCTAAAGCTATGCAACCAAAGCTCATATAGTTTTTGATTTCCTAACTCAAATATTCAATTTTTTTTTTTATTAATAGTCATTGATGTTGGGTTCAACTTACGTACACTTCTACTAATTCCCTCTCTGATTCAGTCAAAGACGGAGGACCATCTAGTCGGGACTAAAAAATTCATGAGATATAAATCCCTCATGACTTGTCCCTAAGGGATTTTCAAGGTTCAAACTCAAGACATCNTTTTTATTAATAGTCATTGATGTTGGGTTCAACTTACGTACACTTCGACTAATTCCCTCTTTGATTTAGTCAAAGACGGAGGACCATCTAGTCGGGACTAAAAAATTCATGAGGTATAAATCCCTCATGACTTGTCCCTAAGGGATTTTCAAGGTTCAAACTCAAGACATCTGAGTTTACAGCTCGTCCTTGTTATCACTTGAGCTATCCTTTGGAGTTAAATATTTATTTTTACTCATGAACAAAATCTAAATTAAGACGAAACAACCATTAAACTCCTAGTAAAAAGACGTGGCTCTCGCGTGTAGGGTCTTACTCTTCATGTCCTTGGAAAAATTTGATGGGTACCATAGCCAATAAGTTGAATATAAGAGTTTTGAAAACAACATTTATAGCAATGAAATCAATCATGAATTATATTGCAGACATCAATCTAAAAAACACAGGGTTAGTGCAGAATTCAGTTATAAGTAAAACTATTAATTTTAAGATGTGTAAAGAATCTTATGAATAGATGGTTAGATGGGGTCTTTTATATGTTTGTATATCCAACAAAATCTTGACATACCAAAATGACAAAACAGGTGGTGTCATGGTGGCTCCACTGTCCACCTCAAGGATGAACTGTGGCCGGGCCTCTTGTAGACAGTTTTGTTGTGTTGTGTTTTGTTTTCAGTAAGTTAGAGAGAGTTGGTTGAGCCTAAGGTGGGTCCCATTTTGAAAGGCAAAATCCATTTGCACAACATAATAAAGATTTCCTGATGTCTCACTGTCCTTCACATTAATTTTTTTTTTTTCAAGGGTTGGTGATATTCAGATTAATTTATGTATATTTTGATTATTATTTTTTTTAGTCTAGTCAAAGGCAGAGTATTCACGCCGATACTAGAGTATTCATGAGGAATAAATTCTTTATAATTTAACTATAAAAAATTATCAAAATTTAAACTCATAACAAATTTACGAATCATTTCTATTATTATTTGAATTACCCATTGGGTTACAGCTCATTAACCTTCACCTCTCACCTTCTTTGCCTTTTTCAATTGCCTCTAATGGATCCAAAGCTACCATAATAGGAATTTCATGACAAACAATCTAGTGANAGACGTGTGAATTTTTTTTTCATCTCAAAATTGACACCCCAACTATACTGAAAGTGGTGTTTCATCCTCATAAGCTCAACAATCAACAACATTGATTTCAAGGTTAGAATCAACTGTACCTAGGAGTACAGAATCTAAGGTGTCTGGACCATTCGATTTTTTAACAACTAATGCTATTGAAACTAAAAAATCTGATCTAATTTACTGATTCAATGATGTATAAAGTGATAGAGTCTNCAAGGTTAGAGTCAACTGCACCTAGGAGTACAGAATCTAAGGTGTCTGGACCATTCGATTTTTTAACAACTAATGCTATTGAAACTAAAAAATCTGATCTTATTTACTGATTCAATGATGTATAAAGTGATAGAGTCCTAACGAAGAAGTCTAACAGTTACTATCACATCAACATTATCGGGTCATGTCTCTACAAGATTATCAGGTAAGCAAATTATATCCGTTTAGGTAAAATTAATAGAGCTTTTGACACGTGTCATNAATTTACTGATTCAATGATGTATAAAGTGATAGAGTCTTAACGAAGAAGTCTAACAGTTACTGTCACATCAACATTATCGGGTCATGTCTCTACCAGATTATTAGGTAAGCAAATTATATCCGTTTAGGTAAAATTAATAGAGCTTTTGACACGTGTCATNTTTTTTAGTCTAGTCAAAGGCAGAGTATTCACACCGATACCAGAGTATTCATGAGGAATAAATTCTTTATGATTTAACTATAAAAAATTATCAAAATTTAAACTCATAACAAATTTACGAATCATTTCTATTACTATTTGAATTACCCATTGGGTTACAGCTCATTAACCTTCACCTCTCACCTTCTTTGCCTTTTTCAATTGCCTCTAATGGATCCAAAGCTACCATAATAGGAATTTCATGACAAACAANATAGACTGATTTGTTAAGACACCTTAGTATAATAATCTCACGAAGACCAAAACAATTCTAAGCTAATAGTGATGGCTACCTTNATTTTAATGGTTGTATAATTGGCAGAATATAAGAGGCTGTTTGGTTGTATTATTGTTTTCGATTAATGCTAATAGATCCTATTTTGTTATTGTTTTCAAAAAAAAATTTTAATTACGTCAAATTACGAATCACACTCAAATTGATGGTGGATAATCTCTAATACTTGTGAAAAATTCACTTAAACATAATGGGTCTCGCCTACATCACTTGAATAATCTAGATTTGCGAGAATTTAGAAAATCACTTTCAGACTAAAAATCAAGTTTTCTCTCTGAATCAAGTTATTCATTGAGCTGTTAAATCATCGAGTTTTCTAGGGTTGATCGACCTAGTTTCCAGAGGATTCATCCAAGAGAATACTTCAAAAGTAATAGAGATGTTCAAGAAAAAATAAAATTCATCTTGATTCACCAAAAATATAAGTGGTAGGGGAGTACATATCTTAGATTCAAAAGATTGGTTGCCATCAAAACATTAATGGTGCATATGGAAGAAATCTTAGATTTTATACAATTAAGAGAAATACAATATAAAGGTTTGTTCTATAGTAAAGGTCAATATCCACAAAGGGATTTTTGGGTAGCAAATGATTTTTTTTATTTATTGAGTTGCAATTAGGAATTAGGATCATCAATTTCCATTTAATCTTTCAGCATAATTATTCATTACATCTCCTTAGCAAAAAATGAAAAGGATGAATCTAAATTTCCTTCAATACGTTTTTTCCCAAATTTTCTTCTTGACAGATTATCTATAATTAATAAATAAGAGACTCGATTGTTTGTAACAGGTCTCAATTAAAATAATGATACATAACTCACTAAAAAATTGGAGATAAACTATATTAAAAGTGATCTCATCGAAAAAAAAAAATCACAAAAGATCATTTTAATTAGGACATCTAATTTATGGTTGCCCAATTCCCAATTTATTAGAAAAGGAGATTGAAAAATGTCATTTGGAATTAGAGTTGATAGTAATTAAGTAACTTGTTTTTTTTTTTTTGTGTTCAAACTTGCGTCTACTACTCCCTTGAATTTTGAGATCGATCACCCCAACTCAAGCTAATTTAAAGACATCTCACTTAAAGAACAAGGATATTATACCTATTTTTCTCTACCAATGATAATGTGACACTTGTAGTTTTATTTCATCATCTTATTTAATTTTATATTTTTTTAATTAATGCTTACAAATAAAAAATTCTAAATTTATAACAAAAAATTATTATTCAACATCACACAAAAAAAATCGGAACCACCCCAACCTTAGCCTAAAATAAAACATTGAATGATAGATATAAGAAGAATACTGTGGAATTTATACTTTTTTGAGGTAAAATTTATAACATAAAATAAAATGATCGATTATAAAATATTATAATTAATTTATAAAATAAAATTATAACTTATTAAAAATATTATTGATCGATCATAAATTTATATTAAATAATTGTAATTTTGTATTCTAACAAGGTATCGAAATTGAGAGTCGGTCTAGCAAGGAAAGTAGGAGCGGAGCGAGGAGTTGGGCGACAAACTAGAGAGAGAATTGTGCTAATCTTATTTTGCACCCCGAATGATATTTTAATTTTTAATTTATATTTTTAAATATTAAAAATTTTAATTTATACCCTCATTGTTATGAATTTGTTGGAATGTGGACTTATCCAAACTACTGTTCAATTTTCTATCATAAGTTGAATCTCGTGAGGTATAAATATTTCTAGCACGAGCATAACGTATATTTACCGTTGTCGATCTTTTTCTGTCATCAATTTGATACCCTTTTTTTTATTGAAAATAAAATTTTATTATTCAGATAGAACTTAAACCAATTATATATAACTCACATGAGACCCCAACAATATGTGAATTTATATATAAATTCATGCCCGAAGCATTTGTAATTTGAGTGCTTAAATTTACAATAAAAAAAAACTGAACAATAATTTGGACAAAATTCACATCATTACCGATTCATAGCTGTATAAATTGAGATTTTTAATATTTAATAATATAAATTGAGAATCAAAATATTTTTGGGGGTACAAAGTGAGATTACCCAGACAGAATTTATTCAAATTGTGTGCTTTAGATTTGCATAGCATTTTAACTTTGAATTTTGAAAAATTGTTTTTTTTTCTTCTCATATATAGCAATCTGATCTGTCTCAGACAACTCTAACAACTGGGTTTGAGAAAAATCCGAAACTCAGACTCTCTCTCTCCATAAATATTCATAGCTTTTGCTGAATTATGGGGGTGTTCTTGTTTCCATATAACTTGCCGATCTTGACTCCATGACGTGCCAGATTTTTTGTGATCTATAGTGGAGATTTGGCCTTCTTCTTGAATTTGGTTCGTTTAATTGCTCAAGATTTTCGTGGGTTACTCTCCAAATCATCAGATTTTGTTTTTTTAGATTTTGGGTATCTCAAAAAACATAGTAACTTGGTGGATNTTCTTCTTGAATTTGGTTCGTTTAATTGCTCAAGATTTTCGTGGGTTACTCTCCAAATCCTCAGATTTTGTTTTTTTAGATTTTGGGTATCTCAAAAAACATAGTAACTTGGTGGATGTATTCATATATATAATTCCTATTTGGGGTGGGCCGTTTTCAAAAATTCTGTTGTTGATTGTAATTAGATGGCTGAGATCAACAATGGCTCAAGAAGAACACAGCCAAAAGTGTAGTAATAGTAGTAGTGGCGGTGGCAGTGGTGGCGGTGGTGGTGGTAGATCTTCAAAAAAGTTGAAGCAAAAAAAGGTTCCACAAAGAGGACTAGGGGTTGCTCAACTTGAGAAGATTAGATTAGAGGAGCAACAAAAAAGAGATGCAGCTTTACAAGCAGCTAGTGTTTTGTCACCCAATTCAATCATTTCACCTAGTGACTCTGCTTCATGTGTAGCTGTCCAATGTCCCAATTTTAGGCCTAATCTTTCACCTTCTTCGATCCCTCTGCCGCCACCACCACCACCACCAGCAACAACCGATCTCTCTTCACCAAAATCTACATTTAGACCCTCCTCTTCGATCCAAAATGTTGATCATTTTCATTCAAATTCAGTTTCATTGTCGAAACCACTGAATGTGGGTAGAGGTGAGGTAGGTTGGTCACCAATTTTGGGGCCAGAACATGGTAATTGTCCTAAATTGTGGAATGGTGAGTACAATCTTGAAGGGGAGAGTCGTAGAGTTAATCATCATGGATTCTTTTTTGGGTCTAATGTGAATTTTCCTTGTGAATCCAACTCCTCTAGTTGGCCTCTCCCTAGTATGATGCAAAGATCACAACAGTTTCATCAACAATCTTCTTTATCAATGGTTAGTCAAGTGCATGCTTGTTTTCTTTTCTTAAAATTTTTCCTGGGTTTATGTGGTTTAGTCTTCTATTCTGTTCTTTTCAATCCCAATTTGAGAGAAAATTTGATATGTGACTTTGTAGGTGAATGTCTCATCATGGACTTCATCATCATCTGCAATGAATTTTCAGATGGAGCCCCCTTCAAACCAAAGTTATTGTAGTAACAACTATACACCCCTGTGGCTGGAGGAAGAGAAGGTAATGTTATTTCTATCTCTTTAGCTGCATATTTTAGTGGTAATCTGGATTTCCCTTGGTTGAATTTGTGTAATCTATTAAGGCAGACAGGATATAAATATTAGATTGAACAAAATGAATTGGATTTTCCACGATTAATGGAATGGATTTTTGCAGTATGAGTTATACTTGTTAAGATCGTATAAACCAGAAGATTGTGTTTGGTTTCTCTCTTTTGGAAACTCTACTTATTTGCTTAAATAAGTACAATTGTTTCGAACGTTTATTGTTCTTTTCCTTGGTGCAATTCAGTATAATTTGTTTCACAGATATCAATTTGAATTTGTTGATGATGAACTATAGATGGTTGGCATGAAGAGACCATATCCCTTTTCTCTTGACAATCCACCAGGACTCTCTTTCCCTGGCAAATTTCCTCCAACCTATTTTGCTCCAGTCTCCAAATCAGATGATTCAGCTTCATGTGGTAATGGAGACACACTTAATATTGAACCTGGCAATCCACTTTTCAGGTCAGCTAACTTTTTGATCAGGAGTTTCTGCTTCTGCAAAAGTTGCATCTTTGATCCCTGGAGGACATCTATTCAATTCCTTGTATTGTGAAATAGTGTAATTGGTACATGTTCACATTGTATTTTTGCACTCTTTTCAGGGATGGTCCTCCAAGCTCAGGTGGGATATCTGAACCCAATTCCAAGAAGGTAATCAAAGACAATGGAGATTTTCTCACACTTGCCCCTCCTGCTAACTCTCTGCCACATTTGAGTTCCAAAAACAACGATCCTTCACCATATCTGGGAACCCATTTTCGAGAATTATCCAACGTCGAATCTCTACCTAATCAAGTGAGATCAAGCAACAGAAAATAAAAATAAAAATTCAATTTTCTATCTTCTGATTTCATTTCAATTGTGCAATCCTCAATTTTTTTCTATCAAATTTTCAGGGAAGCCCTGAGGATCCAATACATAGGGGAGGATCATGTGGGTCAAGTCACCAATCTTTCTTTAGCTTCTTCCCATCAGCAACAGTAAGAATTGGTGAAGCAGCAACCACCATAAGCAACTGCAATGGTGAAGAAGGAGAAAGGGTTGATCTCAATTTGAAGTTATAAAAAGCTAGCTAGCTTATTTCTAGTGGTGTTTTGGCAAGGCTAGTTATTCCCCTGACTCTCTCTCTGTCTCTCCAGAAACCAAGCTATAATTATTTTACTATTTCCTGTAGTACAAACTCTCTCAAGCTTTACTGCACTGTAAGTTTAGTTGTACTTTTCATTTTTGAGGCGTTTTTTGTTTAATTTGCTTGGGTGGAGAATTGAGAGTTGAGCATCCCCAATTGGTGACCACTTTTTGCATGTGGATTCTGGAGATCTGACTATGTTTTGCCATGATTTTGCTCATGAGGGGTCCGGGGAAATCTGTCTTCCAATATATCTGCAGATTGCTGATGAAGGGGATGCCCCCACAGAGAGAGAAGAGAAAGGGAAGTTGGGCCCCGCGGAAGAGGAGGGGGAGTTCAATGAATGAGGGGTGGGGAAAGGTATCTTCCAAATTAGGGCTAATCTCATTTTGTACCCCTGAAAGATATTTCAATTCTCAATTTATACTTTTAATGTTATGAATTGATAGCAATGTGGATATGATCTAAACCGTCGTTTAATTTTCCATCATAAATTGAAAAACGTGAAATGCAAATACTTCAATCATGAGGATCGTTATAGATCTTCATCTACAATTAATTTGACACCATTTTATGTATCAAAACTAGGGTTTTATTAATCAGATAAGGATTAATCCTATTATTTGCAACTCATATGAGACGCAAATAGTATGTAAATTTACACATAAGTTTTTGTCATAAACACTTGCAACTCGCATACTTCAATTGATGACGACAAATTAAACTACAATCTAGGTCATATTTATATTGTTATCAATTCATAACATTGAGGGTATAAATTAATATTTTTAATATTTAAGGATAAAAATTAAGAATTAAAGTATTTTTGAGGATGTAGAGTAAAATTAGTCCTCTAAATTGATGTGTTGTACACATTTTGCATGGCGTGAAAATTGATGCCAATTCGTGTGAGACTAAATAATTCTCTCCTCCATACAGTTTATTTTTTTTTTTTTGGGGGGGGGAGGGGGAGGGGGGCGCTCTTCTTATAGGCTGAACAAACGTTACTTGATAATAGCCATTTGATTTTCATGATTCCTTACCATCTACCAAACACAGTGTTACTATGCCATTGCCTATAAAGAGACCCAAGCTTGTGTTTTGTAAAAGAAAATCCCGTGACAAAATTACAATAATGCCCCAGATATTTCCAAAAATAACAAAAACATCTGAGGTTTCATGTGAGAATTTCACAAGGATTGTAGGTATGCAAGGAAGAAATTGAGATAACATTTAACACCAGAAGGCAAAAAGAAAAGAGAATTGCTTCAGTAACATTTGGATCTCATGGCGGCTGGTAGTATCAGGATGAGAAAAATTGCCATAAATAGTTCCAACAACATTTAGAAGTCACCAACTCTACGTACCCCACTGAAATGTCACACTCAAGTCACATATCCAACAAAATAAACATACGCAAAGCTAGGAAAGGAAATCCTGATGATCGATTAATAGTCACCGGTGAATGCCATCTTCCCAAAGGCTATGACCAGCCGAAAACATAGTCAAGAACATAAACCAGTGCCAGGGAGAACGGATAAAGCAGGAAAGCCGGCAAAGCAGTCCAAAGAGGAAAGGTGGTGCGGAAGCTGCCAACAGCACCCATCACAACACAAACAATCAGGATAACCAGCACTTCAGATGAGAAGTCCCATGTCAATCCCCTGGCATAAACGAGGGCTAAGAAGACCGATAGACAAAGGGTGTTGTTCATGGATACTGCTCCATACAACTGCAATAGAAAAGACACAAACATCAGAGTCTCTAGCCACTATTGTTTGCCGAAGATGCCTTTTGTAGATATCCTGATTCTGTATTTGTAAGTATATTTTCTCACTTAAATGGCAACTTATATAAGATCAGTTAGTTAAGATTAAAACTAGCAATTCAAAGCATGCATCAACCAAAATTGTAGAACGGCTATTCCAATGATCACAGATCCAAATCAAGACTTCATTACCCCTTTCTTTCTTCTTTACCTAGCTTTCCCTTTTCTTTGGGGTAGGGTTGGATATTTTCCTTTTTTCTTTCTCCTTCAGAAAGGTCAATTCAAGTTTTACTTTCTGGCCAAATTTAAAATCTCGTGGCTTTGTCACCGGAATAATTAGTAAGTAGCTGCAATGGCCATATGCCTGTTGATTAAGAAGAAAATTTTAGAGAAAAACAAACCTCCGAAAATGTTAGCGAGGCAGATCTTTTCTTTTTTCGGCTAGCAAAGATAATTGCTGATACAGCCTCACTGGAGTTTGTTGCTAGTGGTAACACAATGAATGAGATGAAGAAAGAAGGAATGCTCGTTGCAGCCGAGAAATTGTCAACAGCATCAACCAGAGGATCAGCAAATACAGCTGCAATAATTGCCCCCAGCAGCAACAACATTACAGCCTTAAATGAGGTCCACTTGGCATTTTCAACACCCTCTAACATCTCATCACTTTGATCACCCAAAAGATAATGTTCCCTCTTTGTTTTCTGCAAATGCATTTCAATGATATCAAATCCCAGGAATAATAAGCTTGAGAAGAAGCCAACATGACTGACATACCTCATGATAGTCAATCAGATGCTTCTCTGAGCCATCAGTTACAGAACCAGCCACAGAACGCCTGGCCTCCACAAGCCATTTTGCAATCCCTTTCCTGAACTCAGCCAAACTAACTTGAGAATCGAGAGATGTGTCAAAATCTTGCAAAATTTTTTCTACCGCATCATCTTCTTCCAAATTTATATCTTGCAATCGCATTCCTACCACCATTGTCCTCAGTTCACTTTTTGTTAGTTGGCCATCGCCATTCGTATCAGTTAACCTAAATATCCTACAAAATTATTGTTCATAAAGTCAAAAAAAAAACGGTGGCTTGTGACAAAATCAGTATACAAGTGTCTTTATAGATCTAACTTGTCTATAACTTCGTAATTAGGTGTGCCTTCATCTGTGGAGAGCCTTCCAAGTCCACGCATGTTCAAATACTTTAAAAGCCCAGAAAATAGATGCTTATGCTTTGCATAAGCAAGCCGCCTCTTTTGGATCCAAGGCTGAAAGACCTGCACTCGAGGAAAGTCAAACACCAGCAAAACATGAGTTCAGGTATGGTGTTATTAAGAATACATCTACACAGCTAAAAATATTGTGAAAATCACAAGTGGATTATTTTTTATTTCTAGCAATTAGTTCTGCTTTCCCTTACAGTACAATGCCAACAAAACCAGTGGCATTGTACTATCAGAGCCATTTGACGGCCTGGTGTATTATCTCTGAAATTTCATTTGAGTCATCTAACTCTGAAATCTTTATCTGTTTCATCTTTCAAATTCATTTGTAAGTAGATCTTACCCTATCACCCAACCTTAATCCAGACACTCAAGAGCACGTAAGTCTTTTCTTGTCCCAAGTGTAAGTCCTAGAGTTGGCAGAAAGGGATCTTAGGCGAGGAGTTGAGAGAATTTGGAGCCAGATTAGGGGGTATGTATAGTGTGGTCATACTTACATATAAATTTAAAATTTGATAACAATTCAGATTTTAAAATGAGTAGATTATTCAGATCTAATTCTAGAGCTAGTACATCTAGATCTTCAGATTATTCTATGCCACATAGAGTAAATGAGGAAGAATTAGAAATAGAAGAAGCTAAAACAGACTGGAAAAAATGGAATATTCCTCCAGTTAAAGAAAAAAATATTTATAGCACAACTTGGGTTCAGAAAACCTTTAGTGAAGAACACCAAGTTAAAACTGTTGAACAAGTTCATCCTCTCAGAAAAGAAGATGAGCTTTGTGAGCTCCTCACTAAGGAGACTCTTAAGAAACACAAGGCTAAAGGATTTAATTTTATCCACATAGGTCTTGTCCAAGTGGCCATTAAACCACTTATCACCCAAGGCAGAAATGCTGCTGCCTTACTAGCACTAAGAGATGCAAGGTTTCTGGATTGGGAACCCAGTGTCTTGGGAATCATGGAGACAGGACTCCACAAAGGTCCAGTCTACTTTAACTGTTTCCCTGACTTCACCCTTGATCTCCATTGTCCTAACACACACATGGCACTAACTCTTGGTATCCGTCTTACAGGCGATATTACCAGGTTAGTAAAAAACACTAGTTCCATAGTACTTATTTACAGGATTTATTACAAGTGTATTCGTACTAATCTTAATGTACAATGCCTTGACCCAAGTCCTAAAGGAAGTACTATGTTGATACAAGCCAGTTCTGCACAGACCAACATCCAAATTCCAAAGCAGATACTTTGGAAAGATGTGACCTTACCAGAATCTTGGACCATGCAGAATGAAAATTTTGATAAAGAATCTAGTACCGAGTCAACTACAACTGATTTGGAGATTATCAGACAGCTCCCTGATGGATCAGTTAAAATATCTTTTGATACTGCTAGATCCAGTAGATCTAGTAGGTTCACGCCCAGGCATGATCAGGTTCCTGAAGGAAGGAAATCTGATTTCTCATCTGTCTCTCATAGAGACAGAGAAATTGCCAAAGAACTTGACCATAAGTCAAAAGGAATCTCTAATTCCTCTGACCCAGTAGCTAGGCCAGTATACACTCCCATAAGTGTACCATTAAGGTCTAGATACACAGAATTTAAACAAACAGAGAATGATGAATTCACTCCTTCACCTTCTCTGTCACCCACTGCTAGTGCTTTTGATGGAAATGTAGGATCCAGCAAAATTCATCAATTATACACTATCACTAGGGAAAAAGAATTTTTTATGCCTGATATTTACAAGTTAAAAAAGAATTTTAAAACCCCTGAGAACAAACCACTTAGGAAAGCTTTTGAATCTCTACCTTGTAAAAATCAAAAAAAAATAAAAAAAGAATGGATCTCTTTAATGTATAAATTAGAATCTGAGATTGCTTTAGAAGACTACTTAAAAAACTTCCACAAAGAAGTAAAAGTAGTAACTCAGCAAAATTGGAAAACAGAATCTGCTATAGTAACCTCTAGTCACCCTCTAGCAGAAACTATTGAAATTAAATATGCTACCAAAACTGTTACTGCTACTCCTTTTAAAATTTCAGTTTTAGAATCAGAAAAGAAGATAGTTGAACAGATCAATTATACCAACCAAAGCCTGATTACTATAGGTAAACAGTTGCATAAAATTGAAACTAAAATAGATGAAATTAAACCATCTTCAGTAGAAAGACCTCTAGTCAACCTACCTGAAGAAAGGAAGAATTTAGTTTTAAAAGATAAAAACTTAATTCAACAAATTGATGCACTCTTATCCAAGAAGGAATCTACCAGTACTTCTCAGATAACAGTCATCAACCAAACTGAAGAAAGTTCAGAATCCAATGCAGAATCCAGTAGTCAGGAAGACACCACTGATTCTGACTCTGAAATAAA